GTAGAATAAAACGAATAACGAGCGGGCGAATTACCTGTAGGAATGGGCGATAACCCGGGTTCAGGTTCAGCGGGGTGGATCGGCTGCAAGAGATGGGCGGCTAGAGCCAACAGGAGGGCGAGGGGTCCGGCGGGCTTCCTCCCCATCATCATCGACGGCGCACCAGCCAAGCCGGCCAGGGAGCAAAACACACACAGAAAAACCCAACGTCTCCTTCCTTCCTCGACTCCCCGCCGCCAAGGAAACGGCGCGAGGTTCTCTGCGGGATTGATTGCCCGAGCGTTCTTTTCGACACGTGTGAATGGCGCGAACACGTCGTCCGGGGGAAGGTCTCCGACAGAAAAGTTTTGAAATGAGGAGGGGAGCGGGAGGTTAAGGAGGAATCCAGAGCAACCCACTTACGCGGTGGGGGGGGGGTCGCGTGGCGCAATTGAGGAAAGGAGTCGACTTGCGGCGACGATCAGGTGCAGGGATGGAGCGGGTCCCGCCGGCTTCTCTTCCTCTGCGAAGGGCAATAGGCAAAGGGCATCCTCGGGGCGCGCAGGAGCTTTTATAAGGCAGGCAGGCGAGTGGGCGGGGAGGGCCGGCGGGCAGATGCGAGCGAGGCGAAATCAGAACCGCTGCAGGAGAAGGAGCTGCCGGAGTCCGGCTATTGGCCATGCAACTGGAGGTGGGGGGGGCGGCTTGGAGAGAGAGAGAGAGAGAGAGAGAAAGGGGCGGGGGTGTCTCTCCCTCCCTCCTCCTCGCTTCCACTCTCCCTTTTCGCACTTCCCACCCTGGAGACACGCCGTTGCCAAAACATCCTCGACTGAGCATATATGGAGCGTTTGCACATGCTCGGTAGCGCGACGTGAAGCCGCTGCCCGGTCCCGGAGTTCTCGTTAGAGCCTCTTCGGCTTGGATCGCCGGATCAACTTTCGCCAGCGCAGGGTTCCTTCCCAATCCAATCGGGAACGACGCGCCTGTGAGGCTGCTTTTCATTAGGGTTCCTTTGGGAGAGCGAGAATTAGAGCCCGCGATGTGGAAGCGTTGCGCTTTTAACTCCGAGCCCTGGAATGGTTTGTGGGTGTATGAATAGACAAACCTATCCATTCTAAAGGAAATCAACCCTGAGTGCTCACTGGAAGGACAGATCCTGAAGCTGAGGCTCCAGTACTTTGGCCATCTCATGAGAAGAGAAGACTCCCTGGAAAAGACCTTGATGTTAGGAAAGTGTGACGGCAAGAGGAGAAGGGGACGAGGGAGGATGAGATGGCTGGACAGTGTCTGCGAAGCAACCAACATGAAATTGGCACAACTACGGGAGGCAGTGGAGGATAGGGGGGCCTGGCGTGCTCTGGTTCATGGGGTCGTGTCCGGCGCTCCGGACACGACTAAACAACTATAGAACAACAACGACGAATAGATATAGTTGTACAGTAGATGCTGTACTTAATTCCACATAACATGTTCATGTCCCAAATGTAGTTGTCCACAGCCTCAAAAAGCTTATCCCATTATTTTATATGTGTGTGTGTGTATGGTTATGCTCACTAGAGCATAAAATCATGTGGATCAGCCCAAAGTCCTATCCAGTTCATACACCAGCCAACCCGTTGACTATGGAGCAAGAGAAGTTCATTCTGCTATTCTCACACAGAGACACAGGTTGTCAGATTGCAAAGTGGCGCTTTCAGGTCCAAACAGGTCTCTTAGCCTCTGTGCCATTTAGCAATTATGGGGATGCATGGGGCTTTTTAATTCTTCACCTTAAGGGTAATTTGTATTTGCTTGTTTGATTTTGGCCAAGCATCTGAAAAGCTCATGCTTATCCCAAACCAACCTACCTACCTTTTACTTTTGCATGGATGGTATGGCTGCTGCTTCATGATCCCAAACACCAATCCCCTCAAGGACAATCAGTGGTCCCCAGCCTTGGGCCTCCAGATATTCTTGGACTGCAACTCCCAGAAGTTTTCACCACCACCTCTGCTGGCCAGGATTTCTGGGAGCTGAAGTCCAAGAACATCTGGAGGCCCAAGGTTGGGGACCCCTGGGTTTGCTGACCTGATCCCCAGCTGTTCTCTCCAAGTCAATCTGTTCTCTACAATCTTGCGGGCAAATGGACTGTCCCAGCTTCTTCTTGGTGGGTTGAGAGCAACCTCCTGCAGCTGCCTCCTAGCTTCTTTCATCTCTCCCAGCAAACTGACTGGGTTGTGATTATGGTAGATGCAGGCAGAAGCAATTGCAAGACTGCTGTGGAGAGTCTCTCCTTTCACTACTGCCAAGTCATTGAAAGGTTGAGCACATGGGAGAGTTGCAAGAGGGGCAACGAAGCCAAAAGCAAGGCAACTACTTCCTTTTAAGGATACAGTGGCAGTAAAAAGATAAACTGGGTTGAGTGACTTCATCATGTCTTCTCATCCAAACGCTTGTGATATTGCTACTGTACACATAAAAAAAAATCACAAGTTGCCTGTTGCTGGACATCCAGAAGCAGTGGGATGGGAGAAACCTATGGCTGCCCAAAGGGGAGCAGCATGTCAAAGGGCACATTGCTCCTTTCCCTGACCTCAGCAGACCCTTTGTAGCCCAATCCAACCCACACCCCAAACAGTCAGTCCGGACAGGCTGTGAGTTTTTCTGTATTTGTGCTTATGCAACAACTGCCACATCACCCTACACAAGATAAAAATCAATTAATTTGGGGTCACCTGAAACTGGTGGATATTCCAAATATATTTTTCCTCCAAACATAATCGTAAGAGGAAGAAGGGGTAAACCCTAAGCAGCCCTATAATGACTACATGATTCAGAAAATTAAGACATGGGGAGAAAAAACCTGACAACTGACAGATGACAGAATTATACTGTCCCACAGGGAAATTGATGGCAATTGTATGAACAGAATATTGGTTTAAATAAGTACAGTATTTGGTCTATTTAACGAGGTGTTTGTGACACCAGATAAAAAGCTATGAAAATGCCATGAAGCTGGTGATTTTCATCCTTTTTTTCCTCCTACAGTGCAGGCTTTAATTTGGTTGGGTCATAAACATTGGGTAAATTAGTTTTATGCCTGCTTCTGCATGTTGTGTTAAAATTAACATAATACGATATTTGTTTAATGGATTTTAGAATGCAGCTGTGAAGCTACCACCACCAAAATAAGATGCTGAAATATGTTGTGGAATACAGGGAGCAGCCCCTTGTTGTTTCTTGGTTTATTTAAACACACACACAAACATTCACAATGCTTCTCCAGATCAGCAACAATTGTTCCTGCAGAATATAAGATATTTCAGAATGTAGCTAATAAGCATGAAGAGGTCTTTACTGCTTTATGGCAGGATCTCTGGAAAAAGTGCTTGTTTTGCATTATTCTGTTTTAGATAATATGAAACTGTTTTAGATGACATGAAGACACGCACATGGAAAACATATTTTTTGGTTGCATTTATAATACTGGTCCAAGTCCCTTAAAGCCAGGATTGCTGTGGATTTCTGCTATGTACTGTATAAAGCATCAGTGTGTTGACCAATGGATAATAAATGGATAATAACAGTTGTTAAAATGAGAAAAATGTACTGAGAACTAATGGTCTTGAAATTAAATAGAACTTTCTTGCTCAGAGATATGCTGCTGAATATGCTGGGGAAGCTTGTGGACATCTGCTAGAAATGTAACCAGCTACTGTTGCAAACAAGATTAAGATCATATGTTCTTAGAGTAATGAATGCAATACTGTAGATGGGAATGAACAATGGATTTTTTCTTGTGAGAAGAACTGTTAGCGGCCAAGAATCTCTTGCCCCCAGCTGTTGTTGACTGTACCTCCCATCACCCATACTGACAAGGTCTGTTGGAATCCGACAATACTTAGAGAGCCATAGGTTCCTCCCATCTCCTTATGGTGGTGGTGGTGATGATATTAGACCATGGAAAAATTACTTATTTTGACTACCTTTCCCCAAATGGATATACTGGTTGGGGTTATGGGGAGTTGCTGTCCAGCCAGGGAACTTGCTCAAGTTTGTTTGTTTATTTGTTTGTTTGTTTGTTTGTTTGTTTGTTTGTTCGATTTATATCCCACCCATCTGGTTTATTCTACCACTCTGGGCGGCTTACAGATTATCAAAACAATTAAAAAACATAAAAACATTAGTATACAACAATAACAAATAGTGTAGGAATAAATAAATAATAAATAACAAAGCAAAAGAAATCAGTAGTTGACAGGAGGGAAGGCCTGGATATACATCCATGTTTTCAGCTGGCATTTGAAAGTACCCAGTGTAGGGGCCTCGCGAATCTCTGGAGGAAGGTTGTTCCAAAGGTTAGGAGCCACCGCTGAGAAGGCCCGCTTTGAGTCTTTTCCCTCCGGGCTTCCCTCTGCGTCAGGCTCCTCAGCCTCACCTCCTGACTCGTGCGGGTGATCCGAGTAGATCTTGGTGGGAACAGGCGCTCCGCCAAGTATCGAGGTCCTAAACCGTTTAGGGCCTTATAGGTAAGCATTAGAACTTTGAATTCAATGCGGAAACGGATGGGCAGCCAGTGCAGCATGGCCAGAACAGGAGAAATATGTTGGTGTTTTCTCACTCCAGTAAGGAGTCTGGACGCTGCATTCTGCACCACTTGAAGTTTCCGCATCAGCCTCAAAGGCAGCTGCACGTAGAGCGCATTACAGTGGTCTAATCTTGAGATTATGAGCACATGCACCAAGGTAGTGAGCGCCCCCATGTCAAGTTATTCTGAAAAGGTGGAAGTCATTCAGCTCTGAATAGAAAATACTGTAGAAATTATTACACACCACCTCTACCATCATCCTTGTCATTAACAACATCATGGCACACCAGCCAACTGTATCAAGTATTTTTATTAGTCACCATTTTAATCATTCCCCAATTCCCATGATTTGGTGCCACTTAGAACATGGCTGGGCAGCATTAAAGGTTGGAGGGCATAGCTGCCCAAGGCTACTCCCACTTATTAAAAAAGTGCAATTTCGGGGCCTAAAACAGATCTGAAGAATGAAATGGGGTGGAACTGGCATGGAAGGACACTGCAAAATAACCATATTGAGGGCTTTGCTAGGCCATATGGGTCACATAGAACCATAGAATAGTGAAGTTGAAAGGGGCCTATAAGGCCATTGAGTCCACCCCCACTGCTCAATGTAGGAACAAAGTCAATAGGATCTGTGCCAGGTGGTTATCTAAGTTTCTCTTGAATTCCTCCAGTTTTGGAATATTCACCACATTTCAAGGTAATTGATTCCATTGCTGTACTGCCCTAACAGTTTGGAAGTTATTCCTGGTATTCAACCAAAATATGGCTTCCTGTAACTTGATTCCATTGTTACATGTCGTGCACTCTGGGGTGATCCTGTCCATCCTCTGTACGACGGCCTTTCAAGTATTTGAAAAGTGATGTTATATCTCCTTCAGTCTTCATTTCTCAAGGCTAAACATGATTTCTTCCTCTCTTTTATAGAAATGCTGCATCATGGATTTTGAAGAGAAATGAACACAGTTGGCAACATGCACTTCACAGACTTGTTGTATGCAGCCCCAAGCATGGT